AAACAAAAAAAAAAGATGATAATATACCTGATCACTGGGCATATAGTTTGGTTGTTTAACTTCATGAACACGATCAAGAAAACTAAAAAGAAAAGTAGAACGTTTTTTTTTTTTTTTTTGATTTTCAAAAAAATCGAAATTACTATTTAGCACAATCGATAAGTTGATATTCATTCGATCGTTCGTAACAAGCTTGTACACCAGCATCATTCCAAAGTATTGCTGCATGTTCAAAGAACTCCGGTGGATAATCAAAATCTAATTGATGTGCTGTTGTTAGCATATATGTAGCACGCCATTGATCTTGTGGATGTTCAAGTGCAATAGGTGGACTTAATTTATCCATAGCACGTAAAATACTCTTGAAAAGAAAAAAGAACGATTAATAAATTTAAAAAAAAAAAGAAGCAAATTATACATACGGTAAGTGAATCACGAATATTACGTTTAATATCAGGAATTTTATCGATTTTTTCTCTACACAAAAAATTCATAAATAAAATCAAGCGAAAAGTTGAATCTTACTGTGTAGTAAAAGGATTATGCAAAATTTTCATTTGTTTAACAACGGTTGATTTGCCGGATTCACCAGCGCCTTAAACAAAATAAATTAATTAACAAACAAAAAAATAATAATAATAATATAATGAAATAAATTTCTACAAACCCAAGAGAAGTAAACGATAAGTAGCTTTATAAATTTTTTCATCTTGTTTTAATTTTGCATTAATTTGTTTATTAATTTGTTCGCGTTTTTTCTCATCATCATTCTTCGGTGCAATACAACTCCAAAGTTTCGGCATTTTGATTTTTCGATTTAATCTATCAACATTTTCTAATGAACAATTCGTCATCTGGAGCCATGCATACACGCATAGATGCGCGTCAATTAGAAATATTCTTTTTTTTTTGTTGTTTTTGTTTGTTTTTTTATCCAAACAACAAAAGAAATTATGTCAAAATAATCTAAAATTAAATTTCGAAAAAAAACAATAAAAACCTTCTATCAAAACAAAAAAAAAAGTCATACAAGATAATCAAATCAAATATTCATCAATAGATGTTCTTTTTTACAAGCCTACACAACCACATATAGTGTATAAAATACGAAAATTTATGACAAGCTAAGATTAGCAAATGTGCCTAAAATAGCTCACTAGACATCTATGCACTTGTTGATAATGAAAAACAATAAATAAATAGAATGAAATAAAAAAAAATAATTCTTTAGTTTAAAATAAATATTTAAAAAAATAAGATTATATTCATACTGTTATTAACAGAATTGAGGTGTTGTTGTTATTGTCATTAGAATTATTATTATTATTATTATTATATTATTATTATGGTTGTTGTTGTTGTTTATTTGTATCGCGAATGCGGGAGCCATTGAAATTGACGGTTGGTGGAAAGAAAGATGATGTTTGATTGGTGAAAATATTTAACCAATAAAGAAATAAATGGGAGAAATTTATTCAAATTTTCTTTTTTTTTTTTTTTGAATTAAATATTGAATTGTTTCAAAACGTAAGTTGTTTTATTATTAATAATAAAAGTCTATAGAGATTTTTATTTTTTTTTATATGCCTTCGAAATGTCATCATCAAAACCAAATTTTTATCTTATTTCAATATTTTGATTGACTTTTTAGTACTATAGAAATTATAAATGTTCTACTAGGATTATACTTTCACAAATCAGAGAATATTTTTTTTTTATTCAATATATTAAAAAATAAATATTATATATCATTTATTTTGCTGAGTCAACATGAGTAGAAAAGGTTACAATTTTTATCAGTCAGTAATATTCGTTAGACAGGTACATAGCCTCAAGGAAAACGATCTCGGAGACATTAACACTTACGAGAGAGCATTTCTAACTGTCACATCGCTTTTCATTCGAGTGTATGCGTATCATGTAAACCCTAATGATCTATAAATACTCTGAAAAAAGTTCGTGTCGCCAGCTTA